AGCGCTTGACTATTCTAGTCTTTAAACTTCCAGAGCTCTGGCCTGTCCCACCCCAGTTCCCCTCTTTGTAGCATTAAGTTCTCTGACCAAGTCTGGAACCCAGCCTGACTCATTCTTTAAGATTTCCAGTACACAGAAGTAATGTCCCCAGGGCCAAAGAGATGGCTCAGTAGTGAAGAACACTGGCTACCTTCTCAAAGACCCAAGTATGATTCCCCATGTAGCTGTTCACATTGGTCTCTAGCTCCAAGTCCTGGGGATCCAATGTTCTCTTTTAACCTCTTCAGGTACCAGGCATGCATATGGTATACATACATATATGCAGGCAAAAAAACCCATATATATTAACATTAAAAGATAGTAATAAAAATAATTTTAAAAATAAAATTTAGGAAAGAAGTATATTAATGTATCTCAAAAATCCAAAGTTGAGACCCACCTGACTGCCAAGTTTATATAAGCACAGAATTATTTCCTCCCTAAGAGAAACCATTGTCTGCTGCCTTCTATTCTGCTAATAAGGTGCCACCAACTATGAATATACTCTCTTGACCTTACAAACTACCCTAGACCCCTCAGTAGAAGTACCAAGTACTTAGGTTTAAGATTAACAGGTTCTGGTGACTGATAAAAGAGAATTCAGGGCCCCTTGGTTAGTGGAGCATCATGACAAAGTATTAGATGTTCACAGTGTTTCATACTATGCCTGTCAATATACACACTTAGTCTGTAAAGCAAGGCATAGGAATGGCTACTGTTACAAAACTGCTTCATTCAAGAAAGCAACTGGCTAACATTGTGCTTAGACTTTACCACAGAGACCCCCTGCTGCTCTAAAGAATAAAGTAAGGATCATGAAGAACAGGGGGTAGGGGGAAGGAGAAGAAGGAGAAGGAAAAGAAGAAGAAGAGGAGGAGGAGGAGGAAGAAGAAGAAACCCGTCTGACCAGTCCCAACTTTTCTGATAGGAGAGCTACAAAGAATTCACCACCTGACAGGTTTCTCTATGCTCACTCTGCTTCCAGGCCCTCAGACTGCTCTCCACTCTTCCCAAGGCTGACTCCTCTCATCTAGTTAACCACCATCTTAGGTTTCACCTCCTTCTGAAGTTCTCCCTACCCCCTACAGAGCACATGTCAAACCCACAATCTAGTTACTGTTAGTACACAGTATATAGTGTATAGCATAGTATATAGTATATACTATATAGTATATAGTTATAGATGTTACCATACCAGACTGATGGCTGAGATCCTACAGAGAGACTACACCCAACTTGTGAACCCAGTATTCTAAAACATGAGCCACTCTGCACCTGAGAAGAAAGATGAAGGCAAAGCTTAACCCAACAATAAATGGGACACAGGACACTATCAGGCAGCTATGGTAGCTCATACCCCTGATCTCAGTGCTCAGAAGGCTGAGCCAGGAGGATTTCTGAGAGTTAAAGACATTAAAGACAGACTGGGCTATAGAGACCTGGAAGGAAGGAAGGAAGGAAGGAAGGAAGGAAGGAAGGAAGGAAGGAAGGAAGGAAGGAAGATAGAAAGAGGGAGGAAGGGAAGGAGGGAGGGAGCGAAGGAGGTAGGGAAGGAGGGAGGGAAGGAGGGAGAGAGGGAAGGAGGGAGGGAGGAAAAGAAGTACATGAGGCTGGGGAGAAGGCTCAGTGGATAAAAGTACTTGCTTTGTAAACATTAAGACTTAAGTTTAAATCCCCAACATTCACATAAAAAGCCAGGCATGTCTGTAACCTCAATGATGGAAGGCAACGACAAGAGAATCCTGGGAAATAGCTAGCCAATCCACCTAGTAGAAATGGAGCTTCAGTTTAGTGAGAGACACTGTCACAAAGGACCAGACAGAGAGCAGTAAAGGGGTGCATCCAATGTCTTCCTCTCCATTTCCTCATGGAGACACCCACACACTCACATGCACACACCACACACACTCAAAGAGTATATATGAGAATTACACTCACTAATAACTTGTTTGGGTAGATTAATAATTAGCTCAATTTTTGCTGTGTTGAAAACTCCAAAAACCAGTTACTTCCTGGATCTTCTCGCTCAAACTTAAAGCCAAACCTTAATTAAATAACAGTCATAAGTTCAGGCCAAGGGTCTAGAAATCACAATGATTACAGATTGAGGGACATAAATGATTACATTCAAGTCCATCTGTAAGTTGATCTCACTCTCATGAACTCAGAGGTGAGCCAACAACTCTTACACGAGCCACTGGCATCCCTTACCTTCACCTCTTTCAGCAACGCTAGGGATTGCACACAGGGCCTGCACATGCAAGCCAAGCGCTCTGCCACTGATCTGTACACAGCCTCCGCCATGGTCACAGACATTTGAAAATGGCACCACTTTTATTTATAGTGAGCACAATTCTGTCTTTGAGTTGTTATCAATAAATGTGAACTATGGCACAGCTTATCTGGTATAATGAAGAACTTAAACACCAAATGATACCAAATGTCATTCTTCAGACTGTTAGAGCAAATGGGACTTGGTGTTTGTGCTATACACTACAGAAATAAAGCTTCATGTGGGAACTGGGTGGTATAGCTTAACGGTAAAGCATTTGTCTAGCATGTATAAGGCCCTGGGGTCAAAAGTACACATTGGGCTTTACGTTGTCCAATGGTAGATGGGTTTGATTTCTATCACAGGAAGAAATGAAGGGAGTGAATCCAAAAATAGTCACTCTGAACATATAAAAGAACACATGACAGCAACATTTCTCTCTGTACTACTATTTCCAAAAGGCAATACAAAAGTGGTTGAACACTCTTAAGGAAAACACAATGTAAGAGATCTGACTATTTAAAGCTAAGAGCTGTGCATCAATCATTTTTGCTATTAATAACCTGAGTCTTGAGTCTACAGGAGCACATTTCAGAGCAGGTCAAAGGTTACCTGAGCTTTACCACCCTGATGCCACCACCATCTGACTTGTGTATTGGAGAAACAGAAGTCATATCAACAGCACAATCCTCATAGCCACATGAGACAATCACATGTCCTGAGTCTATGATCTAAGATTGTTAAGACAAGCATGATCAGAAAGACACTACAATTTTACAGCCAATTTCACTGAAGAAATGGAATATTGGAAATATTCTCTTTCAATACCATCTGCTTCAGATTTGTTCTGAAATACTTGAAGGGGAAAAAATATGTAGTAGGGGGTGATAGATAAACTAGCAATATTGTCAAAACACTAAAAGTTATTAAGAGCTAAATGACAAACGCAGGATTCGATAGAATATGCTGCTCTAATTTTGCATGTTTACAATTTCCCATGGCAAAATGTTAGAAAATATCCTGCCATGCTGGGTATGACAGTGCATTCCCTGTGATCCAAAGACTCAAGAGCCTGAGGTATGGGCATTGCTACAAGGTAGAAACCAGTCAGGCTACAGTAGTGGGACTTCAAAAGCAAAGAAGGGAGGGAGGAAGGGAAGGAGGGAGGAAGAGAGGGAGGGAAGGAGAGAGGGAGGGAGGGGAGGGAGAAAGAGTGAGAGGGAGGGAGGGGAGGGAGAAAGAGTGAGAGGGAGGGAGGGAGGGGAGGAAGAGAGAGAGGGAGGGAGGGAGGGAGGGAAGGAGGAAGGGAGGGGAGGAAATAAGACAGAGTAGTGGTGGCAGCAGTGCGAACCTTTAATCCCAGCACTCAGGAAGCAGAGGTAGGTGGATTTTTATGAGTTTGAGGCCAGCTTAGTCTATAGAGGACAGCCAGGGCTACACAGAGAAAGCCTGTCACAAAACACAAAATAAAATAAATCTCTGCACCTGCACTGGTTTTATTGAGGATGGGAGGTATTTTCTTTTTTTAATTTTTTTTAGGTCTATTCTATTTTATGCATTGGAGTGTTATGCCTGAATGTGTGATGTATACCATGTACATGCCCTGTGCTTGCAGAAGCCAGAAGAGGGTGTTAGATCCCCTGGAACTGTAGTTACAAAAGGTTGTGAGCTACCATGTAAGTACCCAGGTTCTTCCAGAGCAACAAGTGCCCTTGACCACTGAGCCATCTCTCCAGCTCCTCTTTCTTCTTTTCTGATGGGAGATGCCATTATGTATATATATGTTTCTCATACTGGTTAATAATAAAGCACTGTTGGCCAATAGGAAAGGAAGATAGGAGGGACTAAGAGACAAGGAGGAAATAGGAAGTAGTAAGGAGGAGCGAAGATGGAGAGTCTGGAGAAAGCAGTATGCCGCCGGCTCCCCGGTAAGACTTTTCTTTTCTTTTGAGATGATGTCTCACATCCCAGGATGGCCACAAACTCAAGACAATCCTTCTGTCACAGCTTCCCAAGTGCTAGGATTATAGGTATAAGCCACAACTCAGAGCTTCTCACCTGCACTTAAATTTAGACCTGTGATAGTCTCAACTGAGAAAAGTGGTGAAATACAACAAATCACTTGGCACTTCTTGGTACTAGTCAGCCACTGGTGGCCACGAAAGACTTGTGTTAAAGAGGAATTGAACATCAAGTCCAATGGTAGCATGAAGACATTGCACTAGAAACTAGTGATTATAGTCTAGAACCCCAAGATCTCCAGGGAAGGCAACAGTCCACACTCTCCAGTCATTAGCCCTCAGATGACTTAGTGCATGTAACATTTGAGAACATTTTGTTAAACCAATGAGACGATAATTCTGGAACTCACTCTTGTAGACCAGGCTGGCCTTGAACTCAGAGATCCGACTGCCTCTGCCTCCCGAGTGCTGGGGTCAAAGGCATGAGACACCACCACCTAACTAATTTCTTAAAATTTCCCAGAAGGCTGTGTAAACAAGTCACACCAGCAGCCCTTCTGATAGTTCCAAATGTCAACAAGGAAAAAGTCCAGTGAATCCAAGGTATTGGCCATCAGACTTTAGAAGAAAAGATAAAGCACCAGAAGGAAGGCCGCATGAAAACCAGTGGAGGTGGGAGAAGGGAGAAGACAGTCAGCTCACAAAAGTCTCCAGAAAAGGAAGGCAGACACTCACCAGAACTTTGTTTTCCACTCTGTCTCCCTTCACTTCCAACTTCACTTTCTTCTTCACTGAGATTTTGATCTTTCTGCCAATAACATCCTTTACGCTTTCTGAAAGAGGAAAAAGTCTCATTATATTCCTTCTTTTGCAAGGAAAGGGGAGTTTGTGCAGAGCAGGTGTTTGGAGGAGTGGGTCTAGCTGTTTTTATTGTTGGTCCTCTCCTTTCTTTCTGCTAGATTAACCAGTCTGAGAGTTGTGAGCCTTCAAGAGGTTTTTGCTTTGAGACAGAGTCTGGGAACCCAATTCAAGTCCTCTGGAAGGCAAGGACCCTTAATGGCTGAGCCATCTCTCTAGTTCTAGATATTAAGGTCTTGATAGCAGTGGGCTGTGGTATAGCTTAATGGTAGAGCACTTGCCTACGATAACCAAGGACCTGAGATCAATCCCCACTCCCACATTCTTTGGGCTTGATGGTCCCTGCCTGTAGTTCCAAGTCCTGGGGTAGGGGGAAGGGGGGTGAGCAGAAGAATGTCTTCAGTCTAGTAATCCAACACAAGCCTGTGTGATTAGAGAGAGAGAGAGAGAGAGAGAGAGAGAGAGAGAGAGAGAGAGAGAGAGACCCTCTCACTGCCCAAAAAGAAAAAAAAAAATGTTTTAAGAAATCTCAGTATATTGTTCTGGGCAACAACTACAGAGCAGGTAGAGAAAGGCGAGAGAAGGAAAGAGAAGGCTGAAAATCGGAAAGCACAGCTCAAGGAACAGCAAGAAGGTGAATCAGGACAGCATGCATGTGGGGGAGCCTGGGCACTGGGAGTTCTCTGTCCAGCTACTATCTCTCGTCAGAACAAAAAGCAACACAGATGACCCCTACCCCACCCCACCAAGAGACTTCTGGGAAGTGGGCCGCTGAAATTCACTTACTATACACACATGAAAGCAGACAGAAGCCACAATCCAAAAGGTAAACGTAGTGTCTCTGACCCATGACAGGTATTCTTGTTCTCGGCTGTTTTTTGTTTGTTTGAGACAGGGTCACCCTATGTAGTCTTGACTGGGCCTGGAACTCACTATGCAGACCAAGCTGACCTAAAGCTCACAGAGATTCACTTGCTTCTGCCTCCACGGTGTTAGGATTAATAGCTTGAACCACTGTAAATCCCTCCCTCCCACCTGACCCAACACACCCTTTACTTTCTGCATTTAAAACTGTTGTGCAAAAGGCAAGAGGTGGCTCATATCTGTAAACGAGAATTCAGGAGACTGAGGCAGGAGGAGTGAGAACTTTTACAGCCAACCCTCAGCTACAACATGGTGAGCTGGCACCCACCCTGGCCTACAAGAAACCTTCCCTTTAAAAAACAAAACAAAAAATCTTAATCAGAAAGATACACCATAAATAGCTTACACACCTTCAAGAGGCATTTAAGAGGATGCAGTGAGGCCCTTGCAGTCTGCCGCTTTGAGCTGCTCAGAACTCTTGTGAGCTCCTGGAACTAGAAGCAACAGCAGGTGCATTTTCCCACCATAGCCTAATTGGGCCATGTAAAGGCCTAGGCATATCGAAGAACACACCAAATGATTTAGCCAGAGAAGGATCCTGCCAGCCACTGTCCTTCCAAAATCACAAAACACAAAAATCCTTTTCAAAAGAGGGGTCAAATTCAACTTTTAAGCAAAGTGAAGGACTAAAAAGCACTGACAAAAGCAATCTTTTTACTTCACCATCCACATTTCCCCTTGAGTCTAAGTCACCTGATCTTCAGGTTCCAGGACAATGCTACACAACTTTCTAAATATCTACCACCCTTGGAAGCATCTTTGGAGCCTCCAGTGTTAGTTTCCTGTTCAGACAGGATGTTGGAAACACTCAGAACTTGATGGGTCACTCCTTGATATCTCAGAACTGACTCTGGTGACTGAGGAGAGAGCTTGGAACAAAATACGGGGTGTGCAAGACTATTTCCCTCGATTTTTTTGTTGTGGTGGTGACGTTTTTAATTCAACAAAAGCAAAGTTCCATACACAACCAGGAACAGCTTCTTCCCGCCAAGTTTCACCTGTAGAGTGAGCAGTTTTGTGAGAGGACACGAAATCCTCTCAAGTATAAACCATGCAATGGGTAGCAGAGGGGAAAATACCAGAAATGAGGTGAACCCTCGGTGAGAACTTTCCCTCCTAGTCTGCACCCAAGAAATATCAAGGCAATGAGAGTATGCACAGTATGATACCCTCAGGGAACACAGGTCACAGAGTATCTATCAAAGCGTGCCCAGGCTGACACGTTCACCTTAATGTGTCGTCTACAGGAGCGTGAACGCTGGTTTCCAGCACTCCTAGACCATTTGTCATCTGCCATTTAACCTTTCCTGATAAAGCAAAGCCCTGAGACTTAAATTTCAGCCAATGCTTTCCCCACCCTCCGCTCCAAAAGAGACGCCCCCCCCCCCCCCCCACCGCCGCCTGCCGCCAACCAGGAGGGCCTCAAGCAACCGGTCACCTGGCACAAGAGTACCACATATGTGTTCCCAAAGAGACTGGGCGGGGGGGTAGGTAAATCATTATTAAAATGAGGCTTTTATCATTAACCCTCCATTTCCTGGCCCTAAGTAGACCTCAGTCTCGCTTCCAGCTCAATCCCCAAAGCCACGCCTTGCCAGACCGGGGTCGGCGCCTCCATCCCTAAGGCGGTCGGCGAGAGGGGCAGCCCTAGACGGGAATTTCCTGGAGGGTGCCTGGCACGAGCCTAAGGGGACCTACGATGCTGTCGCCAAGCATCCTGCTAGGCTTTCCCGGACTTTTCCGAGTTAGGGGCCACGGGGCTGGCCGCTGGAAGGGACGTCCCTCCAGCTCCATGCTCCGCCAACCTGACCCACCTGGTCAGGGAAACCCTCCTGGAGACCTCCAGAGCTCCAGAAGCCTCCCCCACGCCTTCCTCTCTGCACCCAGCTCCTGCGGCCATCAGGCCAGCAAACTTCTAGTCACTCCCTGGCGACCCTTCCCCAAACCACTAGAGCGCCAGGGTGCGGGGACTCTGCGGGAGGACGACGGTGGAAAGGAGGACGGAGAGGAGGTGTGCACAGAGGAAGATGGCCAATCGGCCCCCGCGCCAGGCTTACCCATCAACTCCCGGGGGACATCGGAGCTCTCGTCGGTCATGGTTGCCCACTGGGCGCGGGGAGATCCCGGGTCCCACACTGACTCTCGGCCCCGCGCCCTTCCCTAAACCCCAGCTTGCAAGAGAAGAGTCGGCCGGAGCGGCAAGGCGTTGATCCAAGGTTGCCGCGCGCCCGTAGTGGGGGGAAAAAAAAAATCCGGAGTTGCAAATCCGAGCTGGCTCTGCGGCCGTCGCTACATGCCGCCGGCTCGCAGCTCCGGGGGCTGAACGCAAGGCGGCTGCAGCACAGGCTCCTCCTCGCGCGGGCGCCGCGCAGCCGGGCCTCTGCACCGCACCTTGGGCGTAGGTGAAGCGGAAGGCGAGGGTTGGGCGGCCCGGTTGGTCTCGGCCTCCAGCGGGGCTGGGCTGGGCAGGGGCGGGCCGGCCCTGCTCTCCTCCTTCCCCTTCTCCCGCTCCTCCTCCTCTCCTTCACCCGCTCCTGCTCCTCCTCCTGGTCCCCCCTGCGTCTCCTCCCCGCCTCGCGAGAGCGGCCTCCACACGGGTCCCCGGCCGGCCTCCGGGCCTGGGCGCACGGTGCCCGGCGCGGGGGCACAGCCCGGGGACCGACACGGCGCTCGGCTGCGGTGGCTGCTTCCCTGACTGCAGCGGCCGCGGCGGGCTCCGCGCCCCTCCTCGCAGCCTCGCTCCGGTGCGGCAGGCGCTTGCGTCTGGAGAGGGATCGACAGAGCTGTAGAGAGAGCCCGAGAGCCATCTGCTGGCTGCGGACGAGGAGGACTCGGGCTGCGAGGAGGCTGGTCCCCCAAATCCCGGCTGGTCAAAGAACCCTGAGGCCCGGAGCTGCAGGACCCAGGGGGGTGCTGCAGAGCCCCCTCGCGGAAGCTGCTGTTTTCTGGGATCCTTCTGAGCACTTCTGGATCTCAGGCCCCTCTGAGCTCCCTATCTGAAGATACTGAGAACTACACGCAATCAATAGACAACCATAAGATGAGAAGACAGGGACCTTTTTTGGAAAATGCCTTTCGATGGCGACCCTGTCTCCTTAAGCCCCAGGGCACGTCGAAGGGCCAAATGCGGTTCACAAAAGCTGAATATTCAGGTTGCTAAATCTCATTCTACCTGAGCCAACCCATCCACATTCCTTCGGATGCTGGGGTCCTCGAGTGCACTTCCATCACCTGCAGCTGGGAATATCCCTGACTGACCAATCAGGTCCCTACGGGGGAAGGAGGGAAAGAAAGGGAATACTGGCCTTTTTGGCAGCTTAACTTTTGTTATTGTTGTGTTGCATTTGTTGATTGGTTGGTTGGTTTTTGAGACAGGATCTCACTATGTAACCGTAGCTGGCCTGGAACTTGCTGTGTAGACCAAGCTGGCCTACAACTAAAAAATCTCCTCTGGTTCCCTCTGTTTAGTTTTTTGTTTTTTAAAGTGTCTCTCTGGTGGCCTGGGCCTCAGTTCTCCTGCCTCAGCTTCCCGGGTGCTGAGACTCTTAGTATGCGCTATCGGGATGAGTTGGTGGTTTAGTTTTAAAGATTGCTGTGGACATTGACCCTAAAAATAATCTTCGGTTTCTACTCCGACGTTTCCCCTGGAGTGCTGTTTGTGGAACTCTTTCCTTGGAAAGACTGTAAACACCCTCCTTGTAGTTCTCCATTTACAGAGTTCAGTTGCACCGAAGTCCATCTTGGAGGACCAGTGAGGTTACTGAACTTAAATAGAACTTGAGTGAGGGGTTACTTATGGGATTGTGGGTGACCCAAAGCAGCCATAAACCTTTGCATGAATGAAGATTTCCCCACAGCTGTACAAAAGAAGTATCCCTTTCAGTTGGAGTATACCCTTTACATACCATAGCACCTCCAAGATCACATACCACTGGCTCAGAGGTGTAGAAGAGAGCAGCTAGAAGTTCAGATAAGGTCCCATCGATTTCCCCCTACACACTCCTTGTGTGAAGGAACATCAACAGCCAAAAGATTTCTTGCAAGTAATTAACCACTGTTCTGATGAAAACGGTGGCAGTTGTTCTGGGAGAGTACCTAATACAACAGGTACTATTGTGATTTGTGATGTCTGGCCACTTGGAGCACAGGAGGGGGGGGGGCACGACAGGACATCTTGTGGGAATCAGTTTTTCCGATAAAGGCTCATACTAGTTGAGCCGTCTCCCCAGTAACCCAGACTTCCCCAAGACTCTCTTAGGTTATCTACTTCTTGATATTTGCAAATCCATCATTTGTGTATCTTCTTGATAAAAAGTTCTACAGGGATTTTCAGATCTTTGAGATTCCTAAGGCTAAACACACACATAAAAACCAAAACACACAAGGGCCTTTCTTCACTCTTGTGTCTTTGTCCAGTTTTCCTGTGTAACCCTTGAGTACTGGATTAGAGTTGGGGGGAGGTGATAGTTGTTTGTTTTCTAACTAAACAGTAGGCAATTTGAAGGTAGGAAATGTAGGAAGTATCCATGTGTTATTGGGGATTCAACCCAGAGCCTCTTGAACACTGCCAGAGGAGCCTCAGATACCTCTGCCTCAAACCACCTGGGCAAGGCAGACATCCAGTAAACACTTGTTGACTTGAGTTTACTACCTCAGACCTTTACCTCTTTGTTGATGAAGTTGGCAGTTTGTCTAAACGATATATTTTCTTCATATATTAACTATTTTCCCCCTGAAGTCAGTGGGAATTAGTACGTAAAACAGTCCTTCAAATGCACATGGTTTAACAGCCTGGTCCCACAGCCGTGCCAGCCCCAAATAACACACAGAGACAACGTTATTAGCTATAAAGCTGTTGGTCTGTTACTAGTATTTCTTATTGGCTAGCTCTGTCTTAAATATTAACCCATTTCTATCTATCTAAGGATTTCCACGTGGTCTTATCTTACCTGAGAAAGGGCCCAGAGTTCTGCTCTCCTGGTCCTACATGCTGAATCTCCTCCTCCCTCTCCCAGAAACCTCCTTCTCTCCTAGTCCTGCCTATCTTGCTTTCCTATTAGCCAACAGTGCTTTATTCATTAACCAATACAAAAAAGATATTTACAGAATGACATTTCCTATCACCAATGAAGCTTCAAAAATAGCCCTGAAGGCTCCACACAATAGGAACCTTGTGAAAATAAGAACAGAGATCTTTGTCCTTTTGGTCTGGAGAGGTGCTGAGTGGTAATTCTGTGATGCAGGACTCTTGCACTTCTTGATTTTTATTGATATTTTTGTGTTTAGTTTTTAATTTTTTATTTCTTTTTAAGATTTATTTTTATTTTATGGGTATATGTTACCTGCATGTATTTCAGTGTACCAGGTGTGTACAGTTCCCGAAAAGACCAAAAGGGAGTTGTGGAGGTTTGTAAGCCATCATATGAGTGCCTGTACATGATGAACTGCAGTCCTCTGTAAGAGCAACTAGTGCTCTTAACTGATAAATCACACTCCAATCCTTTGGGTGTCTTGACACTAAGGGTCACAGGTAGCCACTGATGACTCTGAACTGTTGATCTTCCAGTCTTTACCTCATGAGTGCTGAGAGTATACTATGCACCATCCTGCCTGGCTATATGTTGTTGGGGGATAGAACTCAAGGCTTCTACATTTTAGACAAGCACACTACCATCTAAGCTCCATCTGCAATCTCTACTTCATATTCTCTTGTTTTTTCATTTTCTGAGACAGTATTAAGTCTGTAGCAAATTAACCTGGAACTCCTTATGCAGCCAAAGCTTGGCCTCAAGCCTGAAGCCTGACAATGGCTAGTATTATAGAAGTGGACCACCATACCCAGCATCCCCCCCTTTTTTTCCTTACTGTGCTCTATACTGAACCCAGAACTTTGCACACTGAACAAGTATTCTTATGCTAAGCATCAACCAGACATCACTTTAAGAAGTTAACACAGTAAACTTAACAAATACTGGATGACAAAGTTAACTTGGGAAACAACATGGTTTTTTGTTTATTTGTTTTCATTTGTTTATTTTGGGGTCTTTTTGTTTGTTTGTTGTTTGGTTGGTTGGTTGGTTTTGTTTTTTTGAGCAGGCTCTGGCTGTCCTGGAACTTACTTTGTAGATCAAGCTGGCCTTGAACTCACAGAGATTCACCTACCCCTGCCTCCCAAGTGTTGGGATTAAAAGAGTGCACCACCACACCTGGATTGACATGTGCATTTTTATTTTTAATTCTACATGAGCATTTATGTCACTATATCATATTTTGCATTTCATTATGATAACAAGATACAAGATGGATAAAGTATTTGCCAAGATACTTAATGCTTTTATGATGACTTAACATACTATTATTTATACCAATATTGTCTAGAGATTAAATCCACAGTGACAAAACAAACAGAAATGGAGCGATCAGCAAAATAACAGAAAGTCCTTGACTTATGTCTAGTCTTGCCTATGACAGTGAGAACCAATGGCATTTAAAAAAAAAAAAAAGTATATAGCATTTAGTTGCTTTTTTGTTTAGTGTGCATGTGTGCATGTGTTGAGTCCAGTCTCTCCTTCTACCATGTGGGTCCCAGGGATTGAACTCAGGTCATTGAGATTGACAACTGGCACCTTGTCCCACTGAGTCATCCCACAAACCCCAATGAACAATATTCACACCCTATGTAATTTTGCGTATTTGTTTTTCTTTGCTGGGATGCTAGGAAGCAAAGCAGTGTCAGGTAAGTACTCTACCACGGAACTATATTTCTACCCCTTATCTTTTAATAATTTTAAGATAAATCTCACACCCCAGAAGCTACCCTGTGTTAAGGAGCTTTCATAAGGGAGTATATAAAACAGGAATGAGAGCTTACACCTATAATATTAATGTTTTCAACCTGAGACAGAATTCAAAGCCAGCTTGGACTACATAGTGAGTTCCAGTCCAACCTTCTTTAGGATGAGATTCGTTGTTAAATAAAATAAAAATGTCCTTCCCAATGAATTAATGGAGACCTTTCAAATGTGTGTTATGCCAACCAATAATGGAGATCAGTGGTCAGCACTTGGTTGTAGCATGTTTAAGGGCCTGATTCAATCCCAGAACCACAAAAATGTCTGTGATTCAAGCTAATTTGGGAATATCTTTAAGAAAACAGTTTGCAGATGGGGGGGGAGGTGTAGTTCAGCTAACAGAGAGCTTGCATGGCATACTCAGAGCCCCAGGGTTAATCCACAGCACCACACTCACTGGGCATGGTGGCATGTGCCTGGCCTGTAATCGTAGTGTTCAGGATGTGGAGGCAGTAGATTTCTAAGCCAGTCTTAGGTATATAAGTTCTAGGCTACATGAGTGAGTCAGGATGGGTCAAATAGGAAGAGGAAGAGAGGAGGAGGAGAAAGAAAGAAAAAGAAGGGAAGGGAGAAAAAAAAGAGGAGGACTTAGCTTATTATTAGGTTAACAAGTGAAATAAAATCTGCCATTTGCTTAGAAATAATCTATGATGGAAGCTGGGGGTCATGTAAATAGAGATGCCTATGAAACCCCGTGGCTAGGGTTGATTTTCACTGTAGCTGCCAGCTACTAAGTAGCAGCTCTTACTGAGTAGGAGGGGGAAAAAAAAAACAAAAACAAAAAACAGCTCAGTATTAGCTCAGAAACAGTTGCACTTCAATGACAGTCACAGTGTCATGATATAAAGAAGCCCTTCCTTGTAATGGTAATGGTAATGAAATGAGATACATTCCATAATTGGTGAAGATGATTAACACTATGCTTCTTACCCCTGCTCCTAATACAAATACTCAGG